TGTTCACAATCACGTTTACATTCAAAACTACTTATTTACTTAAATGTAAACGGATTAAGAATCAAAGTGCTAGAAGAGATTTGAGCGTTTGGTACAAAAAGTATTTTTGATGTTGAAATTGTACTTAAAATCGGCAAATTGTATTTTTGTACATTTTAAAATTAATTGTACTGAAAAATGTCAAATTGTACTTAAAATATCAACACTGTTTCACTGGCGCTGTACTTGCTGCAGCGATGCCAGATTTTAGCGTACCCAATTTTTTACCGATAATAACTCATGCGAGGGATTTGGGTATTGGGCATTTTACAAGCCTATTAGGAAGTATACATATCTGTGTTCGTATAGAATAGTAGCTTATGTCGGAAGACTGGCTTTAGTATAATGAACCATTCGCAGCATACGATTGCGAAAGACTCACTGGCGCCGAGTCGTTGAAGAACTCTTGGAAAATAAACGTAAAAGACGGCAATGTTAATGGCGATGCTAGCAAGTCAATATTCGTATAAGGTTTCTTAAAAAAATTCCTTGTGGTTTAAATAATATAGGAAATGGTACATTTTACTAAAGCCAGCCTCCCGAGATAAGCTACTATTTCATACGAACACTAATATATTCGTCTACAAATAATGTTGATTATTTTGATTAAGTCCTAAATAAGATAAGTTTGTGAATCTTATCAGTGTTCTATGTAAGAACCAAAAATCAATCCCCTCGCCAATTAGAACTTTTGCTTTAAAAGAAAAATATACTTAGCGCATTTACTCAATACTTGGTCTGGCATCACTGTTTGAGCATTGATGTGATCAGCTCACTGTTGCCAAAGTCATGAATTTTGCACTAAATTTAGTGCTTTTGGGAAACCAAAAAGCCAAAATAATTGGAGTTCAATGCTTGGTGCAGTTGTTGTTGTAGCAGCATACAAGTTCCCCAAAGGGTTTTTGGGGAGTGTTGCTGGAGTGACAGTCCTTGGCCAGATATAAATCTGGGTCGTTCCGGTTACGTAGACCCGACTGTCGTGGGTGCAGTATTTGGTGATGCTTTTTTAATTTAAGCACACCGAATGCATAGGTACATATGTATGTATGTATACACTATACACTAATATTCTACATTAAGATGGAATTCATTTACTGAATAAAATGTGAGGAATAGGTAAATTAAATATGTTTTGCAGTGTTATAAATGTATTGAAATTTATTATTAATAAAAACGTGAGGAAATGGATATGTATATACACTTTTTACTGAATCAAAAAAATTATTAAACATGATAATAAAAACTTGGCGCTTTTGTTTTGGAAAAATTGGCTTTTTCTGGTGGCGTGTTGCCACACTGGCTCAGTTGTCGCAAAAGTACACATACATACACGCATTTTTACTTGAAAATAAGTGTGTAGAGCATAGATGGGCACACCAATACAGTCTCATTTTGTCATGGTATTCGTGAATCGCGCTGAGTAACAGTTGCCACTTTTCTATATTGTACAAGAGTGCGTCGTTTTTTGCGCGTGTTAGAAAACGCTCTTACAAATTTATATTTAATTTGTATTATGAACATGAAACGAAAATAATAAAATATAATAAAAAAATAATGAAGAAATAATTTCAAATAATGAATTATGAAATTAATTTTTACGCGCATGAAAAGTTTTTTTAATTTAATTTCATTAAACTAATGTTTTAAAAAATGATAGTTTATTCAACAACAAAATTCACGAATTTAAAATTTCTAAACTTTGTAAAAAACTCAGTATTCAATAAAGTATACTAAATATATTAAATTGCCGTATCGTACATACATATATACATAAAACCCATTACAAAACACTTTAAATTGGTTTACACAGTTCGGCAGTTTGACTTTTTTACCATGACAAATAATGTTGCCTTATATTAAAAGTACGATTCCAAGTAGTCGTATTACCACGTAACAAGCATTGGGCGTTATTGGCTTTTCTTAAAATCAAAAACTATAATTGGCACTCATACGCAGCCATTTTGGGCATTGTTACATATATAGGTGGCAACAACGCGCTAAAATTACGAATAAAAATATTCAACGGCGAAGCATGGTATTACTCTCATGAAAACTGAAAGCAGACTGAAGTGAAATTCGCTGCGTCGTTTCTGTATACGTATAAACGCTGCGACGCAGACGCTACTCGCGAGCAGTGTTGCCAGAACTTTTTGGACGAACCGGCTAAATTGGCAAATAAAACCGGCTAAAAACGGCTAAAATATTTCAACTAAATTTCCCATGTTTTATTTAAATAAATCACGAGTAAAAACCCTATATCTTGGAGAGAAGTTACAAATTCGAGCCGGAAAAAATTTTGCCAGCAAGAATTTGCAATTAGGAAAAACATATGATTGGGGCACATGGTTGGATTTTTTGTCGACGATAATTTGAATAAACCAGTTCGTTAAATTTAAAAATTTACAAACTGGAGCGATTTTAAAATGAGAAATGTAAGTTAATACTTGTTTACTTAATTAATTTAGTTAATTCCAATGATTTGAAAGGTACTCGGCAAAAAAAAACTATCTATTACTATTACTATCTGATATTTTGAGTGATAATTGTCTTCCCTACAAGGCCTTTTCAGACAGACCGATTCTCAATACACTCAGATAGAAACCAATACACATAAAAAGCACTGCAAAAATTTCCCTTCAATTTTAAGGCAGTAAAACAACGACCGAGGCCATATGTTGACAAGGGATGCAAAATCACAGTTACACAAAAGAACTGGTCAGATTTTTCAGAAATCCCTTCAATTCTGATGTAAAATATGATGCCAAAAGACTGCAGATCTCCCATTTAGATGACCGGTCATAGGACCGGCAGATGTCTCGTAGGATTCCTAGGATTTTTAGGATAGGATAGGATTTTTCTTTACATAGAAATTTGTGCTCTTTTATTTTCATTTTGACTCACTTCAGTGTTGGTTCCTTTAATTCAAGTTGGCATTCGGTTTTTGGAATTTAAATAAGTTCTCAGCAAAAAAGTTTGTTTAAAAAAATACATATGTGTACATAGTAATTGAAAATATCAATTTTTCCCTTACCTTAAACCTTTGGGAGTGGGAAAAATGATGTTTTGTAATTTAGGCAGAATTGAATATGCGCTATCTGGGAAGACAATATCTACATGTAATATTTATTCTGTTTGTTGGCACTATATCCAAACACAAACGAATCTTAAGTGTCTTAACAGTGAAGCAATTTCTTATTTTCTTTCTTATTTATTTCTTTGCGAAGACAACTTCACACTTAAAATTAAGACATTTATAACAAACATTTTCTGAAGAAAATCCCTTCTTCGTTTAAAATAAAAATGAGCGAAATCGGCCCAATTTCATACAACCCTGCCTGACATGAAAATTTCCTCCACGATAAGGCTAGTAGCCATTTCTAACAGATTTTGGGTCGCTTAGTCAAAAATGGAAACATATATACATATTTGAAATTTAAGAAAACAAGACAAATAGCAAAATCGGCTAAAAACGGCTAATTTTTTTTCTGCAAAACGGCTAACAAATCGGCTGCCGGCTAAATCGAAATTTCTCCGGCTGTTTGCTATCGCAACCGGCTAAATCTAGCCGGAAAACGGCTAAAATGGCAACACTGCTCGCGAGTAGCGTTTTGCCCATCATTGGTGTAGAGGTTAATACAGCTCAGTGGTCCATACAGCTCACTTCACCTCGCCTAGCGCGCAGTTTGCCCGCGACGTCGACTGCGTGCACCTCTGCTGTGCATCCCTAGCTAATACGGTAGACAAACGGGCTCGATTATTTGCATTACCAGCATTAATTTGCTTTAACTCATGTATTTTCCTCTTTTAAATGAGCATAAGCAGCCGAACAAATGCACGAAAATTTTGGGAATTAACTCGGATCTGGGGAATTTTCGATGACAACACTGGTAAAAACGGCCAGTTGTTGTCTTTTGTACAAGTAAGCAAACGAGGCAGTCGAGTTTCGCGTACGCGGTAGCCGAGTGGTCAGAGTTGCGAGCTACAAGCCTGTAGCTGCCATGTTCGATTCTCGGTTGGAGCGATTGCGAAAAGTTTTTTGTTTTTATTATATATTTTATATTTTTTATTTATATATTTAATTTTACTTTATTTTATTTTTATTTGCTTTATTTTATATCACATTTCTTATTTCACTATTAGTTAATTTTAATTTTTAAAGATGAATTTTGTTAAAAATTCAACAATAACTAACTGAAAGTAACGTAAAAAAAAATATAGAACTTTAAAAAAAAAAATAATGAAAAGGAAATAAAAAAGTATACTGGCCGTGGGACTCGAACCCACAACCTTGCGGCTGGTTTATTTGCATTACTGCCGTCTGTAAGGGTAAAATTTTAATTTGCATTTATGCTTATTAATTCAAATTAATTTTCTCCGTCTGTCTACCATATTAGTGTATCATTAACTAATTCGTTCAGTGCGGCGCCTACGCAAAAATTGCTCGCGTCAGCGTAAAATACGAGTTTTGCGTTTGCTGAGGGATGTGCCAAAGTTGTAACATTTGCTAGGTAATTTTTACATTCCTCGAACTTTTTCTTAGCAGCGGAATTCTACTTGATTGGCGTTTTGTCCCTTCTTTTGTTGCCTTTTACATTGCTAGGAAACTTCTTAGTTAATGTGCTAACGCTTGTGGTCGACCAAAGATGCACTTTGATGCTTTTATTCTAAGACCGTGATGTCGCAGTTTGTTAAAGACATTTTTCACGTGTTGAATGTGCTCATAGCGATTGTTCGATGCTATGCATATGTCGTCAACTACACTGTAACATAGTCCATGTCGCGGAAAATTTCATCCATATATCGCTGAAATGTTTGGCTAGCATTGCATTAGCCGAATGTCATTACATTAAATTCGTACACGCCGAATGGTGTAATTATGGCTGTTTTTTCTCGATGTTCAGGAGCAATCGGTATCTGGTGATACGTACGTTCTAGATCGATGGTGGAAAATACAGACTTACCATTGAGCTTGTATGAGAAGTCGTGGATGTGCGGCAGGGGGTAGCGGTCTGGTATTGTTATGATGTTCAGCCGCCTATAGTCCCCACATGGTCGCCATTCGCTTTTATTCTTCTTTTCCACCATATGCAGTGGACTTGCCCACTGGCTGCTGCTTGGGCTGCAGACGCCTTGCTTCAGCATGTAGCTGAATTCTCGCTTAGCTATCGCTAGCTTTTCTGGATTTAGTTGACGAGGTTTTGACACGACTGGTGGGCCGTTTGTAAGAATGTAGTGCTGAATATTTGTACGGCTGCGTTAAGTCGTTGTACTCGCGCAACATCAATTCGAAACGATCGCTGCTAACTGGCGATACGGTTTAAAGCTTCTGTAGTTGTACGCTACAAGCGGTGCCCTTTGCTGTCAAGTTGGTTGCTCTGTCGATCAGATGTTTTACACGAACGTCCCGCCTTCAACTTTTTGTACTCGCATGGTTCCGTGTACTTTTTGGCTTTGTCTCATATTTATTGGGCACTGGGAGATTTCTTATGATGTCAGCGATGTGCACGAGGTATTGTGGTTCGAGCGATGCGATCACTTGGTGGTATTTCGTGGTGTCAGTCGATACACCTGATGCCATGAATTGTGACTCCATTTGTATGAAGTACAAATCCGGTTGCTCTTTACAAATCATCGGTGGCTTTACTCCCACTCGGAAAACTTCGCTTGGCGTCGGGAGCTGTGTTTGTAAATTAGCGTTTTGTGCATTTTTCCCGTTCATATTATCAGCATTTATTCGTGCGCCTCCTTGTGTATTTTCAGGATTTGTGACGGGAGTGTCCGGCATGACTTTGCGTTTTTTGTCACAATGCTAAGCGTACCACGAATAAGCGGGAAAGCTACGATTGCGTCATCCAATTTGCAGAACTTCTTCCACGTGCTGTGCTACAATATATGCATGCGGAAATTGCGTGTTTCTCAATTTTCGGGTCACCAGAGTTAGCACTACGCCCCTAGTAATAGAACCTTCGTACTCGATAGATAATATTTAGGTTTATTTAATATTCAAAATTAAAGTACAAAGAATAATGTATGTATTTCACACGGGGTAATAATCGGCCTATATCTCGTGGCAGTTGTTACACCGAAAATGCTGAGAATGAATTGTCGCTAGTCGTAATATGGCTGCTACATTTTTTAAGTTCTGTCAAAAAGGTAAAGACGGCGTTTCCAGATCGCCACATGTACATAAAATAAATAACACTGTGAGACAAATGGTAGGGGTCAGTGATCGGGAAGGGTTCAAACTACCGGGGAAAGTTATATCGGTAAAAAAGACGTTATACGTGTCCCGGCGTTTCGCTGGGTCACGTCTAGGAATCGAGATATATCGATTTGAAGTTAGTAACTATCATATAGGGGAAATTGTCACCTTTGGTGGTCTTTTTTTTGACATAACTCGAGAACCACTAGTCCGATTTTGCTCAAACAAATTAAAAAAAATTAAAAATTATAATTCCTTTAATCTGTTCATATAACGTTTTTCTATATAATCAACAGTTTTGCCGGTAAAAATAAATGTATGAAGAAAAAAAATATTTTTTGCCTAAAATATTAAATTTTTTTATTTTTTAAATTCATAAAAAATCCAAAACGGAAAAAAGGCAAGTCGTATTACTTTCACGCAAAGTCACATAACCTTTAAGCACAATGAGACATAGATCATGAAAATCGATTGACGCGTTTCGCTTTTATTCACAATTAAGTGAAGGTATCTCATTTTGACAAGAATATTGATATTGTTCATAGGTTATGTGACTTTAGTGACACTTTTTTTTGGATTTTTTATGAATTAAAAAAAAAAATTTTATTTTTAGGCAAAAATAATTTTTTTTTCTTCATTCATTTATTTTTACCGGCAAAACTGTTGAGTATATAGAAAAACGGACTAGTGGCTCTCGAGTTATGTCAAAAAAAGACCACCAAAGGTGACAGTTTCCCCTATATGATAGTTACTAACTTCAAATCGATATATCTCGATTCCTAGACGTGACCGAGCGAAACGCCGGGCCACGTATAACTTGTTTTTGACCGATATAACATTTCCCGTTGGTTTCATCCCATCCCGATTTTGACTGTCGCATAGTGTAATAGGCAATATAAAAGAAGGTGAAGAAGGTGAAGATATTAATGACTCCCCAATCTATTAATCACATTCAACATTCAGCTAAAAATGGACGCATTTCTGGACGAGATCCGTTTTCGATGTCAAGAGTCAGCTTTTGCTATAAAATATGTAGGTAAAATTGAAAGTTTCAGTGTAAATGCACATCGTGCACATAATTTAGTATGAAGGTACTGTAAATGTTTTCGTTTTGTATTTTAAAAATTAAGAAATAGGAACTTTTTTAGAAATAAAATAAACGTGCCTGTTAATTTTTTTCAAAATTCATAAAATTTATTACTTGATCCAAAAAAGTTGTGTAAGAGGTGGGTCCCGTAATAAGAAATTCTTTACGATCTTCCAAGCTGCAAACTTTTGGCTTAAACGAGCAGGGCACACCGAATTTCATTAAAAAATAGTTTTCTTTTAATTTTCGCCTGTTTTTCTATAATTACTGGGCGATAATTAAACCGATTTAGACGATTTCAGATTTATGCCTTTCTCGTCTTTATATATAAAAATGAATTGCTGTTTCTGTGTTATCGCATAACTCAAGAACGGCTCAACGGGTTTGCTTGGTTTTTATTTTATTTTGTGTCCTTCTGTCTGTACAAGGTTTATAAACAGAAAATTGGTGTTGCCAGATATCTGCAATATCAGAAAAATAATAATTTTAAATAAGATGTAATAGTGATATTTCACTGAAAATGTATAAAAAAATTAATTCGGAAAATAATTCGAAAACAAAGTTTATATATAAAAATGGATTGCTTTCATGTGTTATCGCATCACTCAAGAACGGCTCAACGGATTTGCTTCGTTTTCCTTTCATTTTTGTCTTTCTGTCTGTAAGAGGTTTTTAAGGGGGAAAGTTGGAAAAATGCTATTCCCAGGTATCTGTAATATCAGGGAAAAAATTGATTATAAATACGCCGCAATAATGTTATTTCACTGGGAATATATAAAAACCCTAATTCAGAAAAAAATTTTGGTGGGGTTGCCACCATTCGACAAAAATTTTATATGTAAAAATGGATTGCTTTCGAAAAGAAAGAAAAGAAAAAATTATAGTAATATTAATTATAAACAAAAAAAAAATAAAAATTTCAATAGGGTTGCCACCACTCGAAAAAAATCTTTACATATAAAAATTAATTGCGGTTCGTGTGTTATCGCATAGCTCAAGAACGGCGCAACAGATTTGCTTAATTATACCTTTCATGAGCATGAAATGGTATTATAACTTTGGTCCGATGTTTGTAAGTACCAGAACAAAAATAGATAGACCCATGAAAATGTATACTTATATGATCAGAACGTCGAGCTGAGTTGATTTAGCCATGTCCCTCTGTCCGTCTGTCCGTCTGTTTGTATGCAATCTAGTCTCTCAGTTTTCAAGATATCCGGATCAAATTTGATAGGTGGGTGTATTTTTATAATGTATTAATCATTTGTCGGAACCGGAAGAATCGCACCACTATAACATATAGCTCCCATACAACTGATTGTTCAGATATGAGATTTTTCATTATAACTTCTCCATTTATGCAGCTACGAACATGAAATTTTGCAATACTTGCACCCATTATCAACCGAATACTTACAGTGAAAATTACAAAGATCGGGTCACTATAACCTATAGCTCCCATACAACTGATTGTTCAGATATAAAATTTTGCGTTATAACTCCTCCATTTATATAGCTATGAACATGAAATTCCGCACTGTTTTCAATAATTATCTACAGAAAACTTACAGTGAAAATTAAAAAGATCGGGTAACTATAACCTATAGCTCCCATACAACTGATTGTTCAGATATGAGATTTTTCGTTATAATTCATCCATTTATGTAGCTAGGACCATGAAATTTCGCGCTGTTTTCACTCATTATCAACAGAAGACTTACAGCGAAAATAACAAAGATCGGGTCACTATAACCTGCAGCCCCCATACAACTGATTGTTCAGATATGAG